AGGGAGGGAGGGAGGGAGGGGCGGAGGGGCGGAGGGGCGGAGGGGCGGAGGGGTGAGAGAGGACATCTGTTGGCTGCCTCTCCAATGCGCCCTGGCTGGGGCCAGGATTGAATTGAACCTGCCACCCAGGTATGTGCCCTTGTCCAGGAAAGGAACCCATGACTCTTCGGTGTAGGGGCAGGCTCTAAACACCGGCCACACTACCAGGCCAGTCCTGTGCTGGCATAAGAACTGTGCGGTCCTCTGGAAATGACGGCAGAGACAGGCTGAGGCCCCCGAGCCTTTACTCCCATACTGCCCCGTGGGGAGCAGCAGGTGGCCGGGCATTCTGCATCCCTCCTCGCCACCTCGTCCCTGTGTCTCCTTCCTGAACTTCAAGCCAGATGACAAGGTGGTTAATTTTCAATGGTGCTAAAACGTAGCTGCCCAGCGTGCACTGGCTCGGGTACCTTCCCCTTCCCTTCTCCCCCTCCCCTCCCCTTCTCCTCCCCCTTCCCCTCCTCCTTCCCCCTTTTCCCTCCTTCGCCTCCCCCTTTCCCCTCCCCTTTTCCCCCACTCCCCTCCCCTTCCCCTCCTCCTCTCTCCCCTCCCTTTCCCCCTCCCGTTTGCCTCTGTGAGCTGTGAGCTGTTCCCCATGTTCCCCAGCGCACAGTGGCTCGGACTCCCCCTCCGTCCCTGTGAGCTGACCACGGCGTGCACTGGCTCAGCGCCCCATCCTGTCCCTGTGAACGGACCCCCAGGGTACACTGGTTCAGGCACCCTGAGAGCCCTGGGAGGGGGGTGCGGGCACAGTGTAGCCACAGACCTGGCTGATTCTGGGTGATTCTGGGCTGGGAGCCCACTGCTGGGCACGCCCCACTCCCCCCAGGTCGTCTGCTTTGCTGCGTGCACCAGTCACTGTCCACTGCATTTCACTTGGAAGACAGGTTGCAGGTGGATAGCGAGGAGCTTCTCGTGAGAAAATGCCTGGGTTCCCCGGGGCAGTGTGCCCTGGTTAGAGCTGCCCACGCTCTGAAGTGGGACTGGGTTCCTTGCCGAGGGCAGGTCCCTGGGCTGCAGGTTCGATCTCAGGCCCTCATTGGAGTGCCTGCAGGAGACAACCAGTGGTCTGTTGATGCTTTCCTCTCCTCCCCCCTCAACTCATAAAACCCAGTGAGGACAGCTGTCCTTAGGGCAGGGCCAACAGCAGTGTTTCATGAAGGCAAAGGGGGGCCGGTCTAGAAGTGGGCGTGGCACGTGGGCGGTGGGCGGGCTGTAGTCCCCAGGCCCCGCTGCTGTGAACCGGCTTCTCGCCGAGTTTCTTTTCGGGGCAGGTGTGTCTGGTCAGAGCTGTTCCCCTTCAGGCCGGCTCTGCCCAGGGAGCCTTCTGTCTCCTGCAGTGCCCACAGCCGTGGTGTGGGTAACGCGTTTGTGTGAGGTGCCCATGTCATACGTGGTGTGAGTGCTCACAGCTTGGAGTCGGCTCCTGCCCTGGTGCGGGCCTGGTCCTCACTGTGCTCTGAATCAGGACCCCCTGCCCCTCCGTGGCCTGCGCTGCTGCACTCACCCTAGGGGGTCAGCCTGCGGTTGAAAAGTAGGTTGCATCCTCTATTGACGGGGTTTGCTGCCTGTGGGCTGGAGGGGGCAAAGGGCGGTTCCAGCTTAGCCCTGTGCTTGAAGCTTTTGTCATGCCACTCGCGCCTGCAGGGCTGGGAGCCCCACACGGTTACCTGTCAGATGGCAGCCCCTGGGCCCCTTGTGGTTTTGGGGCATCCCCCATCACAAGAAGACAGGCTGTGTCCTTGGAACCGAAGCAGAAACCTGCCTCCACGTGGAGCAGATTCCATTGACCCTCCAAGCCTGTAGGGTGAGGAGCGCACAGGCGAGGGCCATGCGGGGGGGAGGCCACGAGGGCTGTGCTTGAAGGGTGGCGGGTGGGGATTCCACAAAACGTGACAGAGCTCAGTGTGCGGACTGAGGAGGATGTCCATCCCATCCTGGCCCCCCCCCCCCCCCCCCACACTGCCACTGAGGCGTGGCCATGGAGGCTTGTGTTCCTTGTCCTTGCTGTGCAGGAACTATCCCCCCTGCCCCCATTCCCCGTGGGCTTCCAGCAGCCCAGCACCTCCTCACGGGGTGGGATTGGGCAGGACTCCGCCCTGTGCTGACACCCAGCCACTGGGGCCCAGAAGGCGGAGCAGCCCTGCCCTGGCCACTCCTGGTCACAGTGGGAGAGTCCCTGGCCTGGGTGAGGACACGGCACCGTGAGGACGGAGACAGGGTCCCCTTCCTTGGTGCCTCTGGACGTTGTCAGGTTTATCCTATTAGAAAAAATTTCTTTACTGACTTCAGAGAGGAAGGAAGAGAGAGAAAAATAACGAGTTATCGATTGCTCGCTGCTCCTGCATGCCCTCCGCTGGGGACCAGCCCGCCGCCTGAGCACGTGCCCTGACTGAACGGGACGGTGACTTCTGGCATCGTAGGTAGGAGTGGGCAGTGGATGTACAACCACCGAGCCATGCCAGCCAAGGCAGGATTATCCCTTCCTCCAACCCACATGGTGTGAGTGTCGCCTACAGCTCAGGACGGCTCTGCGGGGGGCCTGGGAACGTGCACACGGGGATGAAGGGGTTCGGGGTCCTGTGGCCTCGAGTAGGGGCCAATGAGAGCTTCTTGGTGAGCAGAGGAACTAGTCTTCATGACTCTCCACCGTTACTTCCCGTCCTCAAGTGGTTTTTCCTGGGACTTTGGGGCCCTGCTCCAGGCCCTGGACCTCAGAACAGGGCTGGGAGGCGGGCACTGAGAGGTCACGTGTTTTCCAGGCTGACCATGCAGGTAAGTCCGTCCGGGACTCGCAGAGACTGGGCTCAGTGGTGTCCCCCCATTTCTGTAGCTCACGTGGAGCTGGGCCCCCAGGCCCAGCTCAGCCCGGCCTCCGGCCTCCGGCGCCCGCTGACCAGGTTCATGCAGTAGGGCTGGGCAAGGCACTCTGCACGTCCATCTGAAGGCTGCCAGGAAGGGTGGTGTGCATCCCCTCCCTCTTACCCCGCCACAGTGTCCCCCCCTGCCCAGGCTGGGCTCCTGGGAACGTGGAGAGAGGTCTGGTGTTCCTCTGCATTTGGGTGTTCTCAGAACATCACGTGGAACATAGTGACTTTTCAGGACTGCAGACACATAACCAAGTGGCCCCGGAAGCGTCCCGGCCCACGTGGGCGCTGAGCAAGGGGACAGGTGGTGTCACCTCTGACCCAGCGGGTGTGTCTCATCCAGGGAGGGCCTGGCTGGTGCACAGCTGCCCCAGGGCTCCCGCCCAGGCGATGGATCTGAGGGGGCTGAGGGCATGCATCTTGGCCCTGCCAAGTCCCGCCACGTGCTGCCCGGCCAGCCCCGCTTGGCTGATGTGCTGCTTGTGCGGGACACGGTGATGAGCGTCCGTGGACGTGGGTTTCCGCCGTGGGTGTGCGCCAATGCCACCGCTTCCTTCCTTCCCGTGACGGGGCTGCAGGGTGGACTGGGTCCGGAGTCCCCCTGAGGAGCGGGACCCTGCTGGCGAGGTAAGTGGGACTGTGGATATGCTCTGGGGTCTGCCACTCCCCCCCGCCCCAACCCCGCACCATACAGCTCAGGCTCCGCCTCACAGGGCAGACTCAGACCTGACACTGTCACCCTGGTGGGCAGCAACACTTGTGACAGTGGGGGTGACCTGGCATGAGGGCCTCAGGCGGCAGGGGGTCCTGATCCTCTGCTGCCACACGTGGGGCACCCGCTGTCTGTCCCCAGGACGTGACCTGGGTCAGGGTTCGTGTAAGTTTCTCCTGGTGTCTGCTGCCTTGGACGCCACAGTGATGGGCCCTGAGCACAGGACACAGCCATCAGCGCCTCTGGCAGCGCCGCTCCCAGGGTGGTCCAAGCGCTCCCGTGTGAGATATTCTGGGGGCCTGGGCAGTTGGTGCTGCTTGCCTGCCTAGGGAGCAGCTCGGCAGGCAGGCGGATCCTCGAGGGAAGGGCTGTCGGACACCAGCCAACACCAGTTCACCGGCAGGGGGATCTGACTGAGGTGGGGGGCGCTGTGGGTTCTGGTGTGACAGGTGCAGGGTGAGGCCGGGCACCGAGGGCATGTCCCGTGGGCTGGACCCCAGCTGTAAAGCCCACATGTGTGTTAGTGGGTAGCAGCTATGCTCAGGGCTGTGCAGGTCGGAGGTTTAATAAAACGGAACTGGATACAGTTTGGAAATCCTCTGAAATGCAAACCCAGAAAACAGGCCATTGAGAGCCCAGCGTTTCCCAGCAAGCTGCCTGTTGTGCCCGGGCCCTGTTGTGCCCCTGCCGTGGAGGACGTGCTGGGCCCCGTGGCCAGGCTCCTGCGAGGATGGAGCCGTCCTCCCAGCTCAGACTCGAGGACTGGCCTCCAGGCTCCCACACTGCCTGGAGCTCAGGAGCTCCGCCCCCAGCACGAGGTCAGCAGCTCCAACTGCCCAGGCCACAGGCCTCAGGCCTCAGCTGTGTCCTAGCACCGTGCATGGACCTTCTGGAGCCACAGCTCGTACCGGCATGGCGTGGGGCAGGGACAGCCGCCAGGGCGTCCTGCCTCGGGCGCTGGAAGGGAAGCATGACTTTGTCAAAAACTGCCGAGAGGGTGAACTTGCAATCTGCCTGGCCTCCGAGGGGGCGCGGCACTCGGGGAAAGACCAGGGGAGCACGGCTCTGGCTGGGGGACTGTCCGGGGAGGGGCGTGCGTCCCGCTGGCTGGCGCCAGTGCCGTGGTGGGACAGCGTTGGGCGGGCAGGGCCTGGGTGCAGGTTCTAGAGCCGGCGTGCAGAGAGCGAGTTGGAGGCGGGACCTGTGCCGCGGGCCGAGTCGGAGGCGGGTCCAGCGGTGCCCTGAGTGCCCTGGGCCTGCGGGCAGGCGGGCATTCACACGGCCGTTCCCTCGGACGTGCAGCCCCCTGCACCCGAGGAGTGGGCAGCGTCCTGCTCCAGAGCGAGGGTCACCTGCTTACGCGACCCTGTCTGTCCTTGCAGGTGTGGCCGACGAGGACGCCTTCCAGGAGGCCTGCCGGCTCCGAGGCCAGCACGCGCTGCCGGAGCAGCCCGCCGGCACCAGCGCCCGCCCCCTGCGGCCCCACAGGCCCACCCCGCCGCCCAAGCACGAGGAGGACGAGCCGGGCCGCCACCGGGCCGCCAGCCACTGGGAGCCCTCCACCTCAGCAGGTGTGCGGAGGGAAACTGAGGCAGAGCGCCCCCCCAGGGACGTGCCCCGTCCTGCCCAAGGCCAGCGAGGACAGAAATCACTGCTGTGCTGTGTCCTCACCTGATGGGCAGGATGGGCAGGTGCGGCTGGTCAGCTGACCTTGCAGGTAGGGGAGGCGCCTCTTGGAGACCCCACAATTAAAACGGGGTGCCACCTTCTGTATGAAGTGTGTTGTCTTGGCACGGGTGCAGGTGCCACGGTCAGCGGGTGCAGCTTCCACCCTCAGTGCTCCTTTTGTGACGGGTCCCCCAGGCAGCCCCTTCCCAGGCCACCGGGCTCTGTCTGAGGGGGTCTGAGCCCGCTGCTTCCTGCGGGCTGGGGGCCTTGACGGCCTCCCCCGTGCTGCCTGTCTCAGGTCCTCGGGGGTCTGTTCCAGGTTCAGGGGCTGTGTTCCTATTCCAGGTCCTGGGGGGCTTTGAGGGGGCAGCTATCCTGCAGGCTATGTGGGAGGAAAAGGCTCGCCTTGGTCTTCTGTGTCTCGCGACAGCGTGAGATTCACTCTGTGACTTAGGGCGGAAATAGGTTTCTTTCAAAATCCATCTCTGGAGTAGAAGGAAGTGTCCCATCCATGCCCCCACCCCCTGCACGGAGCCCGCCCTGGGGACCAGCCATGCCAACGCCGCCTCCCGGCCCCGGGGCGGTGAAGAGGGCAGCTGGGACGGCCGAGTGCCTCAGGGAGGACCTGTTGGCCGTGACTGGCTGTTGGCCAGGATTCCCTGTTCTCTCCTGGAGCACGGGGGCTGCGTGCGGGCGGGACCGGCCGTTCGGGGCCTGGGCCAGGCAGGGCTCACGTCCCGGGACGAGTGCCGCTGGCAGTGATTCAGTGGGTGCGTCGTCAGGCGGGGGGACAGCACAGCTCACACCCTGGTCAGGATGCCCCAGTTCCCAGGAGTCTCCCAGGGCAGGGCCGCCGCCCGCCGGCCGGGCCGAAGCCACATCCAGCCCAGCGCCGGGCCGTGTCCGGATGTCCGGTGGCGTGGAAGGCACTCACTCGGTCACTTGCTGGAGAACCCGGGAGCGCCAGCATTAGCAGAGGACACGGAGCCACCCTCTGAAACCACGAGCCTTTGTCAGTGTCTACACGGGGCCTGTCGGTCCCGCAGGGAGGGCATCTCATTGCGAGTGCCGGCTCTGGGGACCCAGCCCCCCGGGGAGCATTTCTGAATGTTGGAGTGAAACATTTTTTGTTTCCTGCTTTAAAATCAACTTATGAGACGTTGAGAAGATTGAGCGCGTCACACGGAATTAAAGGAATGACTCCTGCAGACGTGCAGCGAGTGGTCAGGCGGCAGAGTGCCTGAAGGAAGAGCAAGGAGGGGGCGGCGAGGCCCTGCAGGGCGGCGGCAGGCAGCTCCCTCCGCAGCGGCCATGGCGGGGCCGCTTCATGCTGGCCCCTCCCTGAGCGGCCTGGTCATCGTCCGCCATATCCAAGTCCTGAGTAACGTTCCTGTAGAGGAAGCAGGGGAGGGGCCCCGAGGCGGGGGCAGTGCTGCCGGGGCTCTCTGGGACTAAAGCAGAGGCTCCTCGTGGACCGGTGCTGGGGGAGAGGCCCGCGCCGCACAGTGTGGCGGCAGGATGCAGGGGGCCTGGCCGTCCGAGTGACTTAGCGCTGGCCCTGGCTCTGGGCCCCAGGCCCGGCAAGGGCAGCAGGGGCAAGGGAAGCAGCTTCAGTTGCTGGCATTTGGCTTTAAAAGTATATATATTTTTATTGATTTCAGAGAGGAAGGGGAGGGTGGAGAGAGAGAGAGAAACATCCATGATGAGAGAATCCTCGATCAGCTGCATCCTGCACGCCCCTCACTGGGGTGCAAGCCCACAACCCGGGCATGTGCCCTCGACCAGGGACCCTTCAGTCCGCAGGCTGACGCTTTATCCACTGAGCCAAGCATTTGACTTCTTTACGTGTGTTGCCTTCCACTCTGATCGACAAAGCTCGCGGCTTATTTCTGACCTCACGCCCTGTGCCCTTGCACAGCCCAGGACCAGCAATGGCCAGGAAGGCGGAAGGTCGCCTTCTGCTGAGTCACTGAGAAATTCCTGCGCAGGGAAAACTCAGGAATGCGGTTCTCCATCCTTAACTCTTGCTAAACACTTTTAGAGAGGAAGGGAGAGAGCGAGTGAGAGAAACATTGACTGGTTCCCTCCTACACGCACCCCAACTGGGGATTGAACCCATAACCTGGGACGACGCTCCAACTGAGGCACCGGCCAGGATGCCCTTAACGCTGCTGGGACCTGCAGCCGCGCCCTCGCTGCGGGCTGAAGGCTGGGGCTGGGCGCAGGTCTGAGGGGGTGGAGCTTGTCTGCAGTGAACCAGCTGTTTGCCTGTGCTTCTCCACGAGGCTCGCAGCTGCTCCTTCCAGCCCCATGTGTCCCCTCCAAATCCCTGGAGGCCGGCCCACGTCTTACTGCTCTGTTTGGTTTAAATGAATGTGAACATTGAGCATTTAAGGAAATAACAGAGGAGTTGTTCTATTATACAAGGAGCCCGAGCGCCCGCCCTGCCACTCACCCGCACCCGTGCGGGGTCTGCCCGCATTTCCTTCCAGTCCTGGCTCTGCGTCGAAAGGACCTTCCCAGAGTGAGCACCCCGCTGGTCTTTGTTCTTTTAAATACATTTTTATTGATTTCAGAGAGGAAGGGGGAGGGAGAGAGAGATGGAAACATCACTGAGAGAATTATTGATCAGCTGCCTCCTGCACGCCCCGCACTGGGGACCAAACTCACAACCCGGGCATGTGCCCTGGCAGGAATCACCCGGGACCTCCTGGTTCCTAAGTTGATGCTCAACCACTGAGCCATGCTGGCCAGACTTCTTGTGCTCTTACGCTTAGAAATGCAGGTTGGATAAGAATCGGGAGTGAGGAGGCCTTCCCCTTTCCTCACGTTGGTGGGGTGTCCGGCCTGCCAAGAGCCTTGGGCCTCCCCTGCCCCTCTGAACCACCTCGTCACGTCCCATGGCTCCGAGGCTCTGGTCCCACGTGTCCCCTCTGTCAGGTCCTCTGCCAGGGCCCAGGGCCGTGCCCCCACAGCTGCCCCGCCAGCAGGGGCGCCCGCTCCTGCTGGATGGCAAAGGTGGAGGCTGGCAAAGGCCCCGCCGAGAACCCAGGCGCCGGAGCCTGTGTTTGTGCCGGCCAGCGAGAGCAGGCGCGCTGCTGCACAGGAGTCTGAGGGGCCCACCCACGGGCTGTGACACCTGCCCTGTCACTGAGCTGCGTCCCCCGATGGGCGGCTGAGGTTGGGGCCGGAGCCGCTGCGGGATGTTCTGTAGCTTAGCTCCTCAGGGTGCCGGGTGGCCGTCCCACAGCCTCAGCCTGTGTGTGCGGGCTGCTCCGGGCAGAGGGGCGCTGGTCCCCGCAGGGCTCTGGTGGGGGACGCGGGACGCCAGGGATGCTGTGCCTCTTGGCGGGCCTGGCGGCGGCCGTGGTACCAGTGGTGTGGGCCGCGGCCGGGTGCGGAGGCGGGCTCCGTGGCCGCGTGCCGCGGTGGGACAGTGGATGTGGGGGCCTGCGCGCAGTGTTTCACAAGCCGTGTCTCCCTAGGACTGAAAGAAGGCGGCAAGAGGAAGAAGCCGAAGCACAGAGACGAGTCCAAGAAGAAGAAGGCCACCAAGGGGCAGCACTAGAGCGCGGCCCGGCGTCCGCGGCGAGTGCGATAGGTAGGGCCCCGCTCCCGCCCGCCACCGCCTCGGCCCGGCGGCCGGCGCCTGAGCGCCGCCCTGGCCTCAGCCCGGCCCAGACAGCTTCCTGGGCAGCGGTCAGGGCTCTGGCTTGCTCTCTGCGGTGCGGCCGCTGGCTTCGGGGACTGACGGCGGCACCGGCTCTTCCGGGGCTGGGGGGCTGGAGGAGGTGAGTGGAGTGACTCCATAACACACATCGCCCCTGACGCCGGGCCGTCCTGTCCGCCACCTCACTGAGCTGTTACCCTGCCTCGGAGTGAGCGCGGCCCGGTGTGCTGTGATTAGTGCCAGTCTCCTTCCCTCCACCCCTGGTCCCGTAGCAGTGCCCGGGGCCCTCCCCCGCTTTGCTCCGAGCTTGGGAGCAGGCGGCTGCCTGGCCCGCGGGCGCCCGCAGACAGGACCTCGAGTTCCAGCTGCGGACGCGGCCCTCCTGTCTGCCGGCCTCGCTCTGCCTTCTCTGCATGGCCCGCTGCCCCGTGACGACCCTCCGCGAAGACCTGCTGTCCACGCCTTCCCCTCCCCGTGCAAACAGCAGTTGTGAAAAGTGTGGACGTGACGTAAAACGCCAGCGCCTCAGGCCGGCAGCGCCGAGCCGCGGCCGGTGTGCGTGGGTCCGGCTGTGGCGGCCACGGGGCGGCTCCCGTGTGGGGCGCTGCGGGCCGGGCCGGCATGGCCACCTGCCCGGCCACCACGGAATAAAGTGTGAGCACCACCCGCCGTGGCCTCCTTCACGCCTCGGCCGCACTGGCCTCAGCGGGCGCCGGCCAGTTCAGGGGGGCGGTGTTTTGGCAAAGGCTGGATTCTGAGGTGACACCTGCCGAACAGTGGGAGGCCAGCAGCCTCCGGGGACACGGGCCCCCAAACACCCTGTCCGTGGACACCGGCTACCCCAGAGGCCCGGCCTCGCTGTCCTGAGTGGGACTCGTCCTGTCCTCTGGAGCCTCTGAGGGACCGGGAGAGGTGGTGTCATGGCACTTGTCCCTCGCTGTCCCTGGAGGCCAGTTGCCCTGGAGCAGCATCTGGGGTGGTGTCAGGGCCCTGAATGCTTCAGGCCCGGGCATGGCAAGTGCCGGTGCAGCCGTGGGGCCTCTGCCCGCCGCGGGGCCAGCCCCGTGAGCCGAGAGGCCCAGGGCCCGCGGAGCGTCCTCACACCGGCCGGGCTGCCTCTCACCTGCCCGAGTCACCTCTGGGGCAGAGCCTTTGGCCGGCGCTGGGAGGATTAAAGCTGCCAAACCCTCCAGCCACACTGTGAAGTGCTCGCATGTTGGCAGGAAATTGCCTGGAGCCCCGTGCCCTCCCAGAGCCCCTCGCAGCTAGGACGCGGGATCGCACCTGGAGACCTGGGGCCGAGACGGCTAGCGGTCACACTCGATCCTCTTTTTGCCAAAATAGGTTTTAGTGGGTGGGATCTACGTTAAGGTGACCAGACGTCCCACTTTTGGCGGGACAGTCCCGATTTTTAACAATTTGTCCCGTGTCCTGTGACATTTTAAAACAGTCCCAATTTTTGTAAAGATTCTTTTAAAACGCAGTGGGACGCGGGACAAATTGTTAAAAATTGGGACATCTGGTCACCTTAGTCTACGTTCTTGTCACCCTTGGTTGGGGGGCCTGCCCAGACCTTCCCACACCTCTGCCCGCCTGGCTCCGCCCCCAGGGCGCACAGCGGGCCAGCTCCGGGGGCACTGCCCTGCTCTGGGCTGTCAGGACGTCGGCGCTCGCCCTGGTGTAGGCAAGTCTCCGTGTGCAGAGGGAGTGGGTGCGCGGCAGCTCCGGGCCCAGCGGTGCCCTGTCCGGCTCCATCCCGCCAGCTGGCTGGGGGAGCCCAGACCCCAAGGCCCGGGATTCTACCTGGACGGCTCGTGAGCGGCTCTCCAGGTGCCACTGTCCACAGGCACAAGAGTCCTGAGAGCCAGGGGCAGGCGGCACGGCCACCTGCTGGCCAGAGAGGCCGTGGCTGCGCCTGTTAGCAGCACCCCGGTGTGCTGGCACTGGGCCCCCGCCCCCACCGTGGCCTCGCGTGGGGCAGGTGTGGGCAGGGCGGGGCGGGCAGATCAGTGTGTGTGTCAGGGACGGGAAGCACATCCGTCACCACCGCCCCCCACACTGGACTCCCTGCCTGTCCCCGTGGGTGTGATGGTGCCTCGCAGATGCCTCGCTGGTGTCCTGGCGCCTGCCGGTTCCCTCTGCCGTCCAAGGGGAGGGCCCGCCTGCTGTCCACTGGCCCACGGCCCGGAGCGGCACCCCCTGTGGCCGAGGTGTCGGAGGCAAGAGCAGGAGTGGGTGTGAGGGGTTCAGCCACCAAGCACACCGCCCAGGGTGCCCCGCCTCCGCGGTCAGTCCTCCCTGGCCCTCCAGCACTCACATGTCCCTGCCACTGGCCATCTACAGAGGCCCCTGGGCACGGCTGTGCGGGCCCTGATGCCGCTGCTCACCTCGCGCCGGCTCACAGGCTTCGCTTGCGTGCATTCGTTCTCAGGGAACAAATGAAGTCCGGTGTTCCTCATAAAGTTGTTTCTCTGAGGAGCCATCGCCCAGCGAGAGGCCCAGGTGGCCCGACAATGGGCCCTCAGCCCTGCCCGCCCGCGGCCTGGGTGCCCTGGCTGGGCTCGCTGGAGTCCCGGGCCTGGAGGCCCCCACCTCGGAAACGCTGCCTGTCCCAGGGCACACGCTGGGCCCTTTGCCCAGGGACACCCTGTCTCTCATGTGCCCCGTCAGCCCAGGGGCAGGTGGAAAGGGGAGCCTGGGCTTCTGTGGGCATGTCGGCTTGGGCGGTGCTGTGCCCGTCTGGGCCTCAGTGTGAAATGGGGTGGGAGCTGCAGTTTCACAGGCCCCAGACCGGGAGTCCACGAAGTTGGCGGGCCCTACACACTGCCTGCTTCAGGCAGCACCGCCCCCCCCCCCCCCCCAACCCCAGCCCTGGGGCCTGGAGTCCCGCCCCCTCCTCCCCATCTCTCCTCCTCCTCCTGAGCTGCCACACCCGCCTCCGCAGTGGCTCCTGCTGATTTTCTTTGTTGTTAATCTTCACCCAAGGATATTTTTTCCTTTTCTTTTTCTTATTTTTAAAGACATATTTGTATTGATTTCAGAGAGGAAGAAAGAGGGAGAGAGAGAAACTTCAGTGATGAGAGAGAACCATTGATCGGCTGCCTCCTGCATGCCCCCTCCTGGGGATTGAGCTCACAACCCAGGCATGTGCCCTTAACTGGAATTGAACCCAGGACCCTTCAGTCCACAGGCTCTATCCACTGAGCCAAACCAGCGAGGGCTCCATTGATTTTTAGAGAGAATGGAAGGGAGGGAGAGGGGGAGGGCGAGAGAAACATCGATGTGAGAGGCACACCTATTGGTTGCCTCCCACATGTGCCCTGACCAGGGCCAGGGATTGAGCATACAACCAAGTAAGTGCTCTTGGCTGGGTATTGAACCCCAGACTCTTTGGTGCACAGGCCAACACTAACCACTGAGCGACTGGCCAGAGTGGCTGCTGCTGGTTTTGGGTTTGTCTCAGTGTTTATGAGCATGTTATACGTGTGAATTAATGCTCTAAGCCAGTGGTCGGCAAACTCATTAGTCCACAGAGCCAAGTATCAACAGTATGACGATTGAAATTTCTTTTGAGAGCCACATTTTTAAAACTTCTTCTAATGCCACTTCTTCAAAATAGACTCGCCCAGGCTGTGGCATTTTGTGGAAGAGCCACACTCAAGGGGCCAAAGAGCCCCATGTGGCTCGCGAGCCGCGGTTTGCCGACCACGGCACTAAGCAGACAGTTACGACTATTGCATGTAAGTGACTGCTGCCCTACGCCGCATCTCCCACGCTGCCCGGCTGCCGGCGCCGGCGGCTGTGTTTAGACCGTGGCGCGTCCCCATGGCCCATGGCCGTTGCGAGATTTGCCTTGTCAGTGTCCACACCCGTGTCCATGGCCGCCTCCTGCCACAGGCAGCGTATCAGGTTACAGATGACCCATCAGGCGATGGTGACCCTACAGGTGGCAGGTGACTCTAGGTGACGGGTGACCCTGCAGGCATTGGTGACCTCACAGGTGACTACAGATGGCCATGACCCCATAGGTGACAGGTGAATCCACAGGCCACAGATGGCTCTAAAGGTGACAGGGACCCTGCCAGCTGTGGGAAGGCCTAGTGGCCACCAGTCCTGAGGCAGCGGCCACCTCCTGCAGGGTGTGGGCACCGGTGCGTCACCTCACTGTCCTGCTCCCATCGCCCAGGCTGAAGGGGTGCAAGGGCTGCAGTGTCACTCCCTCTGGTCTCTAGCCTGCCCCTCGCCGCGTCCTTCCCTGCTCACCCGCACTGAGCACACGCCGAGCTTGTCTGACCCCGTACCATGCCCAGTTCCCCTGCTGGGCCCTCCTCCCGCTCCACCCAGACCCCCTCCCAGCTGAAGTGGCTCAGTGGTTGAGCGTTGACCTAGGAACCAAGAGTCATGGGTTCCCAGTCAGGGCAATGCCAGGCTGTGGGCTTGATCCCCAGTGGGGGCGTGCAGGAGACCCCAATCAATGGTTCTCATTCTTGATGTTTCTCTCTCTGAAGTCAATAAAAATGTAAAAATAAAGAAGAAAACACTGGCCCCTGGCCGCCGGGCACAGCTGGTCCCCGGGGACGCTGCGACACCCACAGGCGGTGTGAGGACCACTCTTCTCCCGGTGTCCTCTGGGGGTTTGAAGAGGGTTTGCAGCCACATCACAGGCTGGAGCTGGAGCTGCTGGTCGCTGGCTGGGCTGTGGCCTGTGTCCAAGTGGATGCAGGTCATCGCAGAGGGATGGTCAGTGCAGATACACCGTGGGCTTTCCGTCGCCTGATGGGCCAGGAGACCATGGACACCAAGTGTGGGTGGGTCCTGCCAACGTGCCCTTGGCCCTCACCCCCGGCCAGGCCTCAGGGCCCCGGCAGGAGCCCATGCTAAGCCTGCCCTGGGGAAAG